CACCCTGGAGGACCTGACATACCTGTTACTAGAAGGCATCTGAGCCCACACAGAGGTGGATGGAGACGGCTTCTTTTCAATAAGCAGCTCTGAACCTGGTCTAGCAAACAGGCAAACAAATTTCTCCAGGCCCTAAACCCAGATGAGCAACCCCAAACACACCATTAGGTGAAAGAAACAGAACGATTTTGTTTGCATTCTAGCTTTGCCTGTAACTAGTGCAGACTTAGGTGGATATGCTAATATCGCCAGGTTTCCATTTCCTCTTCTGGAAAACGAGGTAAGGTAAATCCTTATCATAACCACTTTACAGGTGTGCCATGAGCAGCAAAAGCAACCGCGCTTGTGAAAGTTTTATTAAAGATGCCCTTCTGTGTTAGAAAGGTTCCCCTCACTGATAACAGCAGGCAAAATGTGAGAAAAGCCCTCTGACAGGAAATGGGAAAGCCTGTCTCACAGCTTGATACTGGAAGCCTCAGAACCCACCCAGGGTTTACAGTGATATTGTCTTTATTGGGCTTTGAAAAGCCTGTGAAAGTTTAAGTGGTCGGTGTTCATTACTAAAATCCTACTTAATCGCTGCTTCTACAGCTACTTTTTGCTTTGTGTTCATTTCCATATCATCTGCAGTAAATATTTACTCAATGTTTGCTTAAATAGCTTACATAACACAAGATATAAAAGAGTCAAACCCTTCTCTGCAAACACGTGAATCAGACCTGTTTATATTTATTTTCTACTATTTTTATGTAATGGGTTTTAATATCATCTCTTTATATACATTAAAAATTTTAAACTTAAACACTCTGACCTGATGGTTGGTAAATCTTAACGGCTGGTCCCTAAGTCGCTCCTGTAAGTGTATGCAAATGTTTCCAATTTCAACACTGTTTTCATCTTGAAAACACAGACAAGATTTCCATCATTATTGCTTCTTTGTTTTTCATTGCCTGTTATGAATTTCACTTCACCCCTTCCCTATTCATTACATTCTTGCACCTCACTGAGTTAATAAATTCTTTTGACACCTACTGCCCCTTCCTCTTCTTGCTACCCATCCCCTGAGGATGGCGCCCATCAATATTGCATGCAAGGGCTATGCTGGGAGAGAGCAGGTCTGACAGCTCCCTGGGCCAGCAGGGAGTCTTCTCCCTTCTGTTCCAACTCAGTGATGAGAAGAACCCCTCCTCCTTCTGCCTCCAGCACCTGCTGCTAACAGCAGACTGAGGGACAGCTGTTTCCAATCCTCACTTGTATTGCAAGGGCCACTTGAAATGGTTTCCACTTTAGTTTCCTTCCTTAAAAGTTTAATACTCCATAGACACATACAGCAGTATGGTGATTACCAGAGGGAAAGAGGGTTTGTGGAAGGTAGAAAGGGGTGGGGGGGGTGGGGGGCGTGGAAGATAAATGGTGACAGAAGGAAACTTGACTGGGGTGATGAACACACAACACAATATACAGATGACGGATTAAAGAACTGTACACCTGAAACCTATATAATTTTATTAACCAATGTCACCCCCAATAAATTCAATTTAAAAATTAAATTACATAAAATATATTTTTAGAAAAGTTTAATGCTCGAGGTATAATTGCAACTAAAAGGTAAGAGTAGTGCTTGGAAAAATGCAATCGTTGGTTTCCCATCACCACTGTCTCTGGTAGGAAAAGTCGAATTGTAATAAGCTCAGGGCAAATAGTGTAATATTAACTATGACACAATAAAAGCAAAACTTCACTCATGATCTAAGAGGATGAATTTCAGATTGGAAGAAAGGAGGGAAAACTAGGTGAAGAGGAAATGAAAATGAAGGGGTAAAGAGGATGGTAATGAGTTCTTAAGCTGCCAATAACCTTAAATGTCCAAATATAAGTACATTTCCAAGTACCTTGATAACTTTAGATTTAATAAAACTGAGTTGTTATTAAATGAAAATGGAGATGATATCAAAAAGCTAAAAGGAGTCAAAATTGTTTTGATTTCCTAAGTGGAAGGGGAGTGAGGGAAGCCATTGGTTGGCGAGATACTAGTAAAATTTTAGAAAGAGAGTAGAAGCAGTGACAGCCGGATTTTATTAAGGGGAAAATATGCCAAATTTTAATTGAGTTCTCAGAACTTATAAAAATAATTGTTAAGAACTAAGGAATCTCTAAGATTTAACCTTACTTGTGAGCTACCAAGTAGACTGCCAGTTTTGCAGATGCTGACACATGGCATAAGAATCCTAGTCAGGAACAAAGTGCACTCATTACTCACAACAACAGTGCCATCCATAGTATCCTCATTTTGTGCCAGTTTTCCTGAGCCCAGTTGCTACAGGAGTGATGCAAAGAGGGACAAACAACATCTACACACCCAGTGGTTGCAGCTCAGAAAACAGCTCTTGGGCTTAGGAAACCTGAGTCTTTTTATCATGAAAAGTAGGCATGTCTACCACTTACTCCAGAGGTAAGCACTGTCTTATCTTCCAAGGTGTGTGCTATGCAACTGCTTTGCAAAGACAGGATCGTGCAAAAAACATGAGAGCTCCATGGAGATTTTTCTTCCAACAGTATTAAAAAAAAAATTAGTAACAACTGCTACCACTCATTGAGTGATAAACGAGGCCATAGAGATAAGTTAACTTCTAGATTGTGCAGTATTTAATACAGGAACCACAAGTAAAGAGTAGAGAAAAATCTATATGAAGTGCCCATTGCCGCTATAAAGGAATGTGATATGTCCCTGCAATATCCACATGAATGAAATGGAAAGAGGTGAACGAGACAATATACATTTTAATGGGTTTATATTTGGCTGAACTAAATAACTCAGCATATTGATGTCAGACCAGAGAGATATCTCAAGTGGTGCCCTTGAAAAGGTCTCTGTCTCTTGCCCTATTCTTGTATTACAATGTTATCAGTGATTGAGATGAGAACATAAGTGGCAGGCATATCAGATTTATGGAGGATGAAAGACTGGGTGAGACAGCCAATATTTGGAGGAAAGACATAGCACTAAGAAACAGATGTCCTGAAATTATTAAGGTGAAATGAAAGAGCTAAATATAAGTGTCTGTACATAGGTTCAAAAGCATTGCATAACTGTAGAGACTTAGCCCAAAAGCCTTTCATGTTAGAAATACATAGATTGGTTAGTTTAACAAATTACTCAACCTTCTTGGGGATTTATTGCCTCATTTTATACAGAAAATGCTTAACCATATTATATCCATCTTCCCGTCTAACTCAAGCATGCTAAAAATATTTATCAATAATTACTTGATAGAGAATAACCTAAGGCAATGGTTTTGTGAGGTATTGATAAAACTACATATTCCAAAACCCAGACAATCGTAGTCTCCCCGCACTGTCTACTTGAGCATTACATTCATTCCAAGATGACCCAAATTAGGGAAGATATTGAAACACTGATAGACATCTATATGAAAGGGAGATAGAAATATAGGGAGAGATTGGGAAATCAAATGATTTTCTAGCTAAAGTTTAAAACATTAAGGAATTGAGAGAATGTTTGCTCTGAAATACAGAAGATTTTTTTAGAGACATAATAACAATAGCTAAATATTTGAAAGGCTTTCATGCCAAAGTAGAAAGAAAGCAGGTCAAGGATTTATTGAGAGGAGTCAGGAAGGGAGATTGTGTTCATTCTAAATAAGAATGCATTGTATATGTAAGTTAGTAATAGATGAAATGAGCCTCAGCAGTCGTGGACTATAATTTCTGATGTGTCAAAGCACTAACCAGCCCTGGCCAGGAAGCACATTTGGTTGTAGTGTCATCCTGATGCACCAGAGTTGTGGGTTTGATCTCTAGCTGGGATGTATATAGGAGGCAACTAATGGGTACATGGATGGGTGGAGTAGCAGATGGATATTTCTCTCTCTCTCTCTCTCTCTCTCTCTCTCTCTCTCTCTCTCTCTCTCTCTCTTTCTCTCTCTCTCTCTCTCTCTCTCCCTCTTTCTCCCTTCCTCTCTTTCTCTAAAATCAATGGATGAAAAAATTTGAAAACTAAAAGCCACATGTCAGCATTTATAGAGAGGCTCCTGCTTTGGACAGAAGATGGTACTTATTGATCCCAAGGGTGTTTCCTCCTCTAAAATTACATGAGTCGATGATACTTAAGCCACATTACCTGACAGAATAATATTGAGAACTGTTGTTGAGAAGACATTGGTTTTAGTCCCAGCTATAGCACTGTGAGTTGTGAGAATTTGGACAATCCACTCAACATCTTGGGACTACAGCTTTACATGCCAACTGATAACTTGGATAAATTTATCCATTTGTTTCTTGATTACAATCTTGTTGGAGAAAAGATTTAAGACAATTTAAAAAGAGAGATGTGAGTGAAATAAAGTTCTTGAAGGGTTGTTTGTGTATTTTTTTTTTCCATTTAGGCTCTCATAGTATGAAGTATACAAGGAGAGAGTTTTCATTTTACTGTAGAAATAAAATTCTGTAGTTTGGTCACTTTTGAAAGAATGAATTTGCTGTTCTAGCCCGAATTGTTCCCAAAAATCATTTGGAGGAAGTTTAGCTCTAGGGTGTCCTTGTTTTCAAGTGATGTTTTTTGAAGTATTTTTTCAAGTGAGGTCCCCAAAACACAAAAGTACTTAAAACCTTGTGAGGACAATAGCAAGTGTTGCCAGAAAGCATGGTTATGTAACCTTCTAAGTACTGTTTCTTCTCATTCCATCCTGAAATTATCTGTACATGCATTTCAAAGGAAGTCACCAAAGGAAGACCTGTATCTGAGGGAAGGGGATCAAAGGGATGCTGGCAGACCCACTGTTATCACAAGACCTCCAGTCTGGCAAGATCAAAGTCTCAGTATAAAGAGCATGTCTTCCACTTTGGTTCTGCCTTAACTCCCGTTTGCCCCCCCAAAAAAAACTCGAAAAAAATAACTGTTCAATTTTAGATCTAAAATCTCAGAGTACATACACAGAAATGTATGTAAATGCCACTAATGCTGCTCTCTGCCCTCCTAGACCACCCATGGAAGATACTCAGACACTCCTGACCCCTGTGGTGAGCTGTGGGCCTCCAGGAGCCCTGCTGACCCGCCCAGTCATCCTCACCATGCATCACTGCGCAGACCCCAACACCGAAGACTGGAAGATACAGCTCAAGAACCAGTCAGCACAGGGACAGTGGGAGGTGAGCTGCTGCAGTTGGGATAAAGATGGAATTCAGGGGCAATCCATTCAGATAAGCAGGACCAAGCATGGGAAGGCTTTTATTTTTTTATTTTTTTAAATATATTTTATTGATTTTTTTTTTTTTTTACAGAGAGTAAGGGAGAGAGATAGAGAGTTAGAAACATCAGTGAGAGAGAGTGATTGATCAGCTGCCTCTTGCACAACCCCTACTGGGTATGTGCCCGCAACCAAGGTACATGCCCTTGACTGGAATCGAACCTGGGACCTTTCAGTCCACAGACCGGAGCTCTATCTACTGAGCCAAACCAGTTTCGGCAAGGCTTTTATTTTTAAAACAAAACATGGATGGAATTTTATCTTATGCTCAAAATGAAAGAGAGAGAACATGCAGGAAGGGAATCAAGAGAGGGGAGGAGAGGGGAGAGAGGCAGGAAGGAGGAAAGACAGACAGACTGTTTATTGAATGCTTTATCTGTTGGCTGGTAGTCACAGAAAATTATGGTCAAGCATGAGCTAGCTCATAAGGAAAGTGTACTTAGGAATCTTATACATTTTGGAATATACATACAATATCTTGGGAAGGGAAATTTATTTATATACACTTAGATTATAAAGTCAGTGTTTATTATCATACAGTTCATTTTCAAAATGGAGAAGAATCTGGCTAAAAAGAAAAAAAAACATCAATTGAGCTATCAACTATTAAAGTGTGTATGCAAATTTTGGTGAATATATCTAAATTTTAAATTTATAGGTAAAGAAACATTGCATTTGGCTGAGAAAATGTTAGGCTCTTACAGAAACAGTATTCCAAGTGCCACTAGGATGAAGCACATCTGTGGCATCTTGCCTCTCTGTGGCTGCTGCCATCCTAACTTCTTGAGGACAGTGCCTTAAGAAAATCCTGTTCTTGACATCAAAACCCTTCAGTTAGCATCCATAGTTAAGTGCCAGAGGATTGTTATGTTTCCCATGAAGGTTTTATACCTAATACCTTTTAAACATTTGTATATTCTCATTATTTCCCCTTGAATAAACAGGGACTATTGTTTATATGGAAAATAGCCAACTAAAAATTACATTTTAGATTATTCTCAGGAAAACACATTTCAGAATTGTTTAAATAAAAAATATAACATTTTTTAAAAATCAAATACTTTGAAAAAGCTACCCCTGTATTTTTGTGTAATCATTACAAAATGTATCTAATCTATGTTATATATTCTGTGATTACATATCATATTTTCCTTTTAGGAAGGAACCATTTGAACAAGCTATACATACACATTCAAGACTAATATTTTAGGAAAAAGTCATATTAGACTTAGAAGAGCAGCAGGGCACCCTGGATTAACTGGAATTTTCTGCAATGGACATGTTCTTTCAGCCACTTGAGGGGATCACTCCTTGTTAAAGGACCTCCAGTCCAAGACTGAAGTCTAGGAATATACTCTATGTTGAGTTAAAACCAGACTTAACCAAATCTAGCTTTAATTTAATTAAACTTTAAATTATTTACCTCAAAAACATTCCAAATTGTACAATTAGTGACCCCAAATTGCACAATTCTCTACACAATTACATTATGTATGGGTAATTTGAATAATAATAATAATTTGAGTAATAATAACATCAATCTACACTAATAAAAGAGTAAGATGCAAATTGACTGTACCTTCAAGACACCCACAAGTCAATCAGAAGTGAGTATGAAAGTCAACCCAACAAAGCTAAAAAGTTAATTTGCATACCCAGGCACCAAGCGGCCTGGGGTGGGACAGGATGCTTGCATTATTGCCATGGTGTCGACTCGGGCTTTCCACACTTCCCCAGACCCTCCAGGCCTCTGGGTTGTGTGGGAAAGTGGAAAGGCAGCTCTGGCTGGAGCATAGGTGGTGCTGGCAGCCAGGGGAAAGAAGGCCCATTCTTGCATGAATCTTCATGCATTGGGCCTCTAGTAATAATAATAAAAGAAAAGAAAGAGAAGTGAAGAGAAGAGGACAGTCCTTATGAAAACACTTAGATTTGGGACAGGGACAGGGGCATCTATATACTTGGCCATATCTTCCAGGAGGCTTTCTGTAACATGCTGTGATTAGATGATGCCCGAGGCTGATGTTTACCCTGCGAGAGAAAGCAGCTTCTTTCCAGATGTCCTTTTGGGCTGGAGATGCTGAGCTTTTCCTACTCAGTTTGAACTTCATCTTTGGGTACAGGTTCAGTTGAAGAAACAATTTCATGGATACTATGAAAAGACAGCTCTTGCTGGAGCTCAGCTGATGTTGTAAGGCCTAGCTAATAAACAGCCACCTGAGGGGCCTACTTCTTTCAGATCTTTGTCCATCCTCAGGGACCCAATTTATGGTGAAACATTCCTTCATTTTTTGGACAAATAACCATTTGCTCACCATCAGCCAGGCCCACAATGGGAAGCAAAGTAGATATAAGTCCTGCCTCTTTGGAGATGAAGTAGCCTAATGCAGAGGGTGAGTTATACCTGCACATGTATTTTATTTTTCCCACATGAAATTTTCTTTTAAGTTTGAATTAGTAAAAGGATAATTTCACATAAAAATATAAACTTCCAGTTTCTCTTGAAAAATTAAAGGCTATAGGCTCAGTAGCCCTAAACTTATGCAAAGCTGCAAAGGGCTGCAGCCAAGTGGAGACTCAGCTCTTTAGACAGGCCTATGCCCTGCTTTACCACAGTCTCCACCACTCATTGTCTTCCTATCACCTCGATGCTTTGGGAAGCATGTGGAATTGTGACCCTTGGTTAATGGATTCTATGCTTGCTCTTTCAGATAATTTCTGTTGCCTGTGTCATTTGGATAAATTTAAAACTGTATGTCCCAGTGGTTGAGTGTCCACCTATTCACCAGGAAGTCATGGTTAGATTCCCAGTCAGGGCACATGCCTAGGTTTCAGGCTGCATTCCCAGTAGATGGCATGTAATAGACAGCTGGTCAATGATTCTCTCTCATCATCAATGTTTACAGCCCTCTCTACCATTCCCTTCCTCTCTCTGAAATCAATAAAAACATATTAAAAAAAAAAACTGAGTTACTATTTTCACAAAATTCATCACTTCCACTTATTTTTATTTCTTGCTAAATATTTTCAACATGTAAGGATAGATTATATAAAGACTTACTTGAAAAAATAACTCAGAAAATTGTCTTAAAGGCATGGAGTTGACCACACTGTGCTTTCCATAGAGCCTAGTAGCCCAGATTAATGAGGAAAAGTAGTGGTTTTGCTTTAGAAAACAATTGGCAGGTGAGTTTGGAAGAACACAGTGGAATGATATTGCATGATTGCCTAAGTTTTCTAATTATTTTCAAACCTAGAAATATATACACACTTTGAATAATTATAAAGCTAGTGTTTGAACTTCTATGCTATAGTTGTATTGAAATAAAACAGTACTTTTGGTCTCAAAAATACTTTGGAGATTAAAACATTAAATTCTCATAAACACATAATAAATACAGCTACTCTGAAAAAAGATAATTCATGAATTTGTTCTGAAATTTTATGTAGGTTCTCCGATCAAAACATGCTAAATGAATGGCATCTAAATAAGGAATATAAGCAGTATAAAGGCAAGGGAAGTAAGAGAGATAACAGGACAGATAGAAACAGAGGGATAATAAAGCCTGAGAAAGAAATAAAGGGAAGAAAAATTAATAAGCAAAGCTCAGGAAAAGAGAAACTGCAGCCTTTACCACCATTTATCCGCATCAGGGTCCTCAGGGCTCAGCCACGCCCTCTTCCTTCTTGTCCCGCAGGATGTGGTGGTGGTGGGAGAGGAAAACTTCACCACCCCCTGCTACATTCAGCTGGATGCAGAAGCCTGCCACCTCCTCACAGAGAACCTCAGCACCTACACCCTGGTCGGCCAGTCCATCACCAAAGGGGCCGCCAAGCGCCTGAAGCTGGCCATCTTCGGGCCCCTCTGTTGCTCCTCTCTAGAGTACAGCGTCCGGGTCTACTGTCTGGATGACACCCAAGATGCCCTGAAGGTAAGTGGCTCCTGCATGACTTGCCCTTTTCACCTTCACACCAAAGGTTGGCTGTGCACACCTACAGTAAGTGTGTGTGTCTGTGTGTGTGTGTGTGTGTGTGTGTGTGTGGGTATGTGTGTGTGTGTGTGCCTATCCCTGTGTGGGAACACAAGTGTTTGGCCTCAAAAGATGCAATTTTTTTTTTAAATGAGACATTTCTCTGAGACCAGGCTGATAAATGAGCTGTTTCCCCTACACTGATCCCTCCCAAGGCTACTTTTGTTTACCTTCCTTGATTTTCTTTAATGAAAAATTAAGAAGGGAGAATTTGGCAAGAGACCTGTGGATGGTAAATAATCCGCTTCCATGTTTATCGCAGTTGTGTTCTCCCTATAAAAGGAATTGGCATAGTTGCTCACACTGTATGTTTCTCTTGTGTGCTACTGCATTTATATGCATTCCCATTCTTTCTATGAGGAGTGCAAGGGAGAGGCTGAGCATTTGACAACAGGCTGCTGCTTTGCAGAATAAATTAGCTTAATACCTGGTGCCACTATTGCCATTCATTGTATCCCATTTGAAGCTGAAAAGGATGTAGTAAGCGCCTTTAGATAAGTTGCAATAAAAGGAGGAATTAAAGAAGCTTGCCAAGGACTAAGAGACAAGTCAGAGTGTGATAAATACCACAGATGAATGCAAAGTTCTATGGAAGTTCAAGAGACGGAGGCATCATATTATTTTAAGGAAATATGAGGAAAAGCTCACATTTTATACTGGCCCTAAGTAAAATATGGTTTGGTCCTGGCTGGTTTGGCTCAGTGGATAGGGCGTCAGTCTGTGTACTCAGGGGGTCCCAGGTTCGGTTCCAGTCAGAGGCATGTGCCTTGGTTTGTGGGCTCATGCCCAGTGGGGAGTGTGGGGAAGGGGCTGATCAATGTTTCTCTCTCATCGATGTTTCTAACTCTCTATCTCTTTCCCTTCCTCTCTGTAAAAAAAAAAAATCAATAAAATATATTTTTTTAAAAAAGAAAATATAGTGTGACCAGCAATAATGGGGAAAAAATACAAGATGTCTAGGTGAAGGGTTCAGCATGAAAAAACAGAGGGGGCAGTGAACTCAGACTCTATTGGTGCATAGTAAAATGACAGAGTTTTATTGGCTGAACCTGGACTGCCAGGTAGAGGAGCTGAGATTCAGTTTCTTGAGTTAATGGAGATTCACTGGAGAAATTTAAACAGAAGAAATACATGATTGGTAATAGGTGTTTAAAATATTAGCCTGATGTCAGTGGAAAGATAAAGAAGAAAAGCAGGGAAGACCTGGGGTGATGACGGAGGCATGTGAAGAAGAGAAGAGGTGCAGAAGGTCCTGTTCACGTAGCTCTAGCTGGCCAGCTAACTAACACTGAATGCGTGGAGCAAGCCTGCCTCAAGTCACAGGAGCAAACCCAGGTGGTAGGTAGCAGCTCAGGGTGTGGATCTGGTGCCTTTGCTCTGGGTGTATTGAGTTTGAGATATGAATTAGATATTAGGACAAAATGCCCAAGGTGTAGAAATATGGGTGTGGCTCTCTGAATAGAGTAGATCCTGAGATACAGACTTAGGAACCAATTGTATATTGATACTTGTCATCCATGGTGATAAAAGGTAATATCCAGGGAGAGTAGAGGGAGAAAATCATAAAAACTGAAAACTTGCTATGTGCTGATCAAGTTTCTAAATATTTCTATTAACCCATGTAATCTTCACAACAATAAGATATCATCCCGTTTTTAAAAAGTGCAATCCAAGGCACAGAAAGGTTAAGTTGCTTGAGGTCACACAGCTATTGAGTGTAGAGTACAAGCCTCACTCCCAGGCATCTGGCTGCTGTCTGGACTCTCCAATCTTAAAGTGGGTTTCTCAAAGGGCCACGCACTTGTCTAAACGATGCATACAGTCCACAGGAGGCGAGTTTGACATGCTAGCCCTACATCCTAGAGACCAAAGGGAGCCCTGGCATTGCAAGGGAGGATGAATGGAAGCATTCGAAGGAGCTTCTGAAGGATTAGCACCCAGAGAAGGAAGATGAGAAGTGGGAGAAAAATGTGTCAAGTAAAGCAATTTTTTCTGGAAATCAGGGTATTTCCTTCTGGTGTTTCTATCCAGAGAGTAATTCTGGGTCATGAAGACTGAGTGTGTCAGGTTGGGTCCATGAAGAGAATGAGACAGTCAGTCACTGGATATATTTTTGATGGTTGAGCCTGTAGGAGTTTCTGATGTTGAATAAATGATGTGAACGCACAGCTCAAGTGTAAAGCCTAGGGTTATTTCTTTTATATTCTTTGCAAATGTGATACTTCTAAGGCTCTGTCAGGATAGAAATCATCCGAGGCTTAAATTCTTCTTAGGGAAAAGTGTATTCATAGAGGAGTCATGGGAACTGATTAAGGTGAATCTTTTTAATGATTCCAAGAAAAATCGTTGCAGAAGATCTACATCATACTTGAAATATTTGATACACGTATTTTTGTATTTACACACATAGCTTTTATACTCAGGCACTTTTGACCTTTCTTCCCAACAGACACACACGTATCCATGCAAAGAAAATAATAGACAATAAATAATTTGGATTATTTTAATTAGTGGTCCACACCAAGAAAGACTGACACACAGGTTTTAGCCATGAAAACAAACCAAGAGCAGTTTGTGTTGTGGTCAGTGCTTTCCAAGTAGACATCTATAAATTCTCAGCATCTGGGGATTCAATACTTAGCCTGAAACAAACATGAATAATGGATAAGGCGTCTTACACCACATGGCCTTTGAATACTGCAGAAATACCAAAATGCTAGTTACAGTTGAGCAATCTAAGATGGGTAAGTTAACAAGGAGAATATTTGTTCAGCCACAACCAAACTGGAATTGGAAACAGGGGGCCGATAAACTCAGAAAAAGGCCCTTCACTACCTCAGCTCTGCCTTTTTGGCACCCTGCCTGCCAATGTTCCCTACCAGTCTCTCTACCATATCCCTACTTCTCTATTGTCTGTTATCCATAAACACTCCTTTGCAAATACTTCCTCCTTCTTGAGCCCCACCCCACTTTTCACTTATGCTCTTCCTAAATCTGTAGTTTTCTATCCCACACACATAAGAATAAGGTGGGGAGCTTTAAAAAAAGATTTGCTCTGGAATCTCAACCCAAAAGTTTTTATCTAATTGGTCTAGGTATTGGTTTTGGTTTTTATTTTCAGCACTTCCAGGATAATTTCATTGTACAGCCAAGATTCAGAACTCTTATCCAAAACACTTTCACAGATCTTTTTGGAACTTTAATCCTATTAAGGACAAATTTTCCTACATTCTCTCCCCCATTCCCTTCCCTGTTCACATTATCTGAAACATGAGGTTTCTCACAATCCCTACAGTAAGGACGACACTCTAACTAACCACAGGACCTGGAGGGGAAAGTGCCAATACCTCTCACAGCCCATGACCACTTCTGGGGCATCACTGTATTTCAGGGATTAGGTCTCTGTTCTGTTATTATTTCTTCCATTACTCTGTTATTCATCACCCAATTTAGTTGTTTGGTGCAGCATACCCTAAATATATAGTGTGGGGCAAAAGTAGGCTTACAGTTGTAATTCATAAGGAACAATACAAGAGTAAACTCTGTGTTCCCCATATTCAGAACTGTAAACTTACTTTTGCCCCACTCTGTATATCCCCACACTAGGAGAAATGCCTCATGATGTTTTGTTCTACTCATTCTATTCCCAGAATCCTCTCAAATTCAAAGTCACCACATAATCACAGTTCCTTTGTCCAAATTTATTCTAGCAGCCTTATTATCCCATATTGTTATCACATCATCCCGTATTATCTATCCACCAGTGTGGACACACTGTAGAGTTCATCCTCATCACAACCACACACAGATCTCCATGTATGAAGCTGCTCCTTTCTGACCACAATCACATGACCTTCCATCTCTATACACAAGGTGCAAGCAACTTCCTTTGTTCTTAAAGAAGAACTCCTTCAACCTCTTGCGGTCTCCTGGTCCACAAAGCCATATCTGCTCACAGCCATATCTTCAGGGAACTCACCCCCACCCTGAAATGTCTTACCATTTGGAACTGTCGCAGGTTTTTCTAATTCCCATAGCAAAAGAGGGAGCCTTCAACTGCTACTTCCAGGATGTTGAGTTGCTCTAAAAATTCATAAATTGCTAATTTAATCTATTATAATCTCAAGATATATGCCCTAAGTTTATGTTTTACCCTGCTTCTCCCCGATCATTTCATTTTTAAAAATACATTTATTGATTTTTTTTTTATTTTTTTTTTTTTTAAGAAAGAGAGGAAGGGAGAGGGACAGAGACAGAAAAACATTGACGCCCCCTACCAGGGATTGAGCACACAACCCGGACATGTGCCCTGACCAGGAATCAAACCGGCAACCCTTTGGTCCACAGTACTATGCCCAACCAACTGATTCCCACAGACCAGGCCTCATTTATCTCTCCTTGATACATCTGATTTCACAGAGCACTTCTTCTAAGTCTCTCCTGCTCTCTTAAAGTCCTTGATTTTATCACAGCCCCTTTGTGTTTTACAAAGACACAACTCTTATTGAACCACCCGAGGGATGCTCCCTCAGCTGCTGTCCTTTACCCTGGAAACCTTTCATTTCAGCCTCTTCGCACCTATTCTGGGCTCTGATGAAAAGAAGCCCCGCTTCTTTGTTTGTGCTTTTAATTCTCTCCTTTCTCAACCACCTGCACCTCCAGCACAGCAAATGATGCCCCAAAGTGGGTCTCCCCAGACTTGATATTTTCTTATAGTTATTGCTGTGCCCTGGGGATTTTTTCTGAATTGCAGAAGTCCTCACAGATGCTGGACTAGGGCAGAGAGGGGAGCCCAGTGGAGCACGTCTTCTCAGGGCTAAGGACCCCGCAGTTGGGAGAGCTATTGGACGAAAATGATGTCTGCAGGTGAATATAGCCAGCATATGAATTTCCACTTATTA